CCTCCCTTGGCCTCCCCCGCGCTTCCGACCTCCCAGCCCCTTTCAGCATCAACACTTCCTCTGTCTCCCACCCACTTGAGACCTACAACCCCTTCCTGCACTTTAACCTTTCCTCCGCCTCCGACCTGGCCCCAGCCTTAACCCTTTCTTGGCTTCCCACCCCCTCCTGCCCCCCGCCCCACCTCAGCTTCAAACATTTCTCATCCTCCCATCCCACTTCAGCCTGAACCTTTCCTTGGCCTCACACCCCAGCTCAGCCTCAACCCTTCCTCAGCCTCCCACTCCCTTTCGGCTTCCAAACTCCAGCTCAACTCCAACCCTTTCTCTGCCTCCCACCCCCTATCCCCTTCCCCCTCCTCCCCCCCCCCTCAACCCTTCCTCAGCCTCCCACTCCCTTTCGGCTTCCAAACTCCAGCTCAACTCCAACCCTTTCTCTGCCTCCCACCCCCTATCCCCTTCCCCATCCTCCCACCCCCTTTCAGCTGTTACCCCGAGAGTAGCCTCAACCTTTCCTCGGCCTCCCACCCCGTTTCAGCCCCAGCCCTTCCCTGGCCTCCCGCCCCCTTTCAGCCTCTCACCAGGGATCAGCCTCCAATTTTTCTTGTGCTTCCACCCCAGCTCAGCCTCCACTCCGGGATCAGCCTCGCCCTTTCCTCATCCTCCAACCTGGTTCAGCCTCAACCCTTCCTTGCCCTCCCACCCCTTCAGGCCATCCAAACCCTGCCTCAACGTCCCCCTTTCCTCCGCCTCAAACCCCAGATCAGGTTCAACTCCACCTCGGCCTCCCATCCCCTTTCAGCCTCCGAACCGTGCCTCAGTCTCCACCCCACCTTGGCCTCCCCCATCCTTTCATCCTTACACCCCGTGTCAGATTCAACCTTTCCTTGGCCTCAAACCCCAGATCAGTTTCAACCCTACCTTGGCCTCCCACCGGGTCAGCCTCAATCCTTCCTTGCCCTCCCACCCGCTTTGAGCCTCACACGTGGGATCAGCCTCAACCTATCTTAGCCTCAACCCTTTGTCAGCCTCCCACCCCCAATCAGCCTCCACATTTTCCCAGCCTCCTGCCCCCTTTGTGCCTTTCACCCCTGGTCAGCCTCAACTTCTCCTCGACCTCCATCTTTGCCCACGCTGACCTCCACATCAGCCTCCCCCAGGCTCTCGGTTCCTCTTGCAGCTCGGCCTCACTCTTTCTTG